GTTCGTAAAATTTTTTTTAGACAAATTTCTCTCTCAAATTTTTGTGACCAATTTCTTTTTATTTTTCTCGCAAATAAACTTCACTCTCAAATTTTCACTATCCATTTTCACACTGAAATTTTAAAAATATTCACTCACATAAGTTTCAGGTTTCCTAGCGAAATTCTTTTTCCGGAAAATCCAACTTACCTCATTTATTAATGAAAAGAAAAATAAAATCTGTCAAGAAGAACATGCTACTCTCATTGCCCTTAACCGGTGGACATATACATTAGTGAATGACGCTCGCGAGAAAATAAACGGCCACTTGGGCAGACCTCGAAAGGTAACGCACATACATCGGACAGACGTTGAGTAATAACTTCTCAGTAATGAGATAGTCAGAATCTTTTTTGGAAAAAACAATAGGGTGCGATTTCTACAAGTATCTTATTCTACGTTTGTGTCACATGCTCCTTTTTCTTCACGATACCGTAAAGCTTGACTAGCGGGAGAAAAGGATCCCGTCTGTGGTAACGAAAACTATTTTTGGTTCAAAAAATGCACTTGAAATTATTAATTTTTGCAGCACTTCACGTTAAATACTACCCATGAAATCATTGTTTTTCGACTCTTCCGTTGGGATAGCTCACTCTTTACGATTCCATTTGTTTTTAAGCCCACTCGTTTCGACTGTGGCAGTGACATATGCTAGAAACCAGCTTGCTTCGAATGTGAGAGCGATCGGCTGTTTTGCCAACCTGTGATTGCTTTTGGTGCCGCTGAGTGGTTACGCCTCTCGTAGATAATGAAAACAGAGGGGCTCTTGACTTCCCGACTTCTTCAAATTTGCCAGTTCATTAGTTATTGACCAGCTCTATCTTTGCCTATAAATTTCCAGTAAAGGATATTCATCGATGGAAAGAGTCTTGACCATGGGCTACAATGCCCTATTCTGACCAATTCGCTTTGTTTCAATGTGTTAGAAAGGAAAGCTTTATCGAATGCAATTTGTATTTATTTATATTATTACTAAAATGCACCTTAATTGGTGAATACACAATCCGGGAGTGCTCGAATCTCTGGCTCAATTTATATTTCAAGGAAAGCAAAAAAACCCAAGTTGACGTATAGACATAACACATCCAGGCACAACAACACCGCGAAAAAATGAGGCATAAGGACCGGAAATATCTCATTTACAGAGCATAACCTTGAGAAAATAACGAGGAAGCATGATTCGGAATGAATTATAAGACAACACTATATCCAGAAGGAAAGGGAGAAGTTCGCAAGTTACAATTTATCAAAAAATGCTTTAGGGCTTCCCCGAAAGATTTAAAACGAAAAGCCTCAGAACTGCTTATTTCTCGGATTTTCCTGACTTTTTTTTCTGACAGGCTACAAGTCATATACGTGTAAAGAAGCAGTCTGTGTTTCATCCCTTAGCCATAAACGTCGAAAAGCTTTGCAAGCAGATAGAAGTGGGAATCATCAGTACAGCATCCTAACCGCTACGCATAAGCATAGCTTCCTACCCGCTACAGCTTTTGAAATTTTTTTTTTGCCTTTAATTACCACTGCTATTATTGGAAGTGGCAAAAATATTTTCGCTAGTCAGATGTTTCTCTTTCCCAGCAAAAATTTGAATAGAAATGGAAAATTTTGAAAATTATTGGCCTTGACACGGGAGGCACGCTAAACTGTAATTACCCGCAATAAGGTGATGCAAATGCAGAAGGCGAACTTCAATAAAACCGAAATTTTCTTGAACTCGCAGTGCTGCGCGTTCGCTCGTTCGGCGTCCCAGGGTAATCATTTCAGTGGACTAAACAACACATACATGCCAAATGTTTATCCAAAGTTTTATTGAAGTTGCAAGTGTCTGCCCTCAAATACAATTATCATTTTGGCAAAATTAGTTCAGTAATTAATTTTTGGGAAAAAAGTCCTCCATACCTCATGCTGTCTGGTAATCAAAAAAAAAGCAAGACATTGACCTGGTGAAAAATTTTGTGAAAAATTTTTTTAAACATAATAGGCACTAATTGCAGCAAATCATTTTACGGAGTAGAAAAGCCTGACCCTTTGCAAAAACACTGTAGATAGTACCGCTTAATATCAAGCCCAATCGAACAACTGGAGAAAGGATCTCAAATATGCGAGGCTCAAGCTCACTCACATCATTCTCATCGATCCTGAGCTGCTTATCTCCACTTGGTACGATATATTGTGCACCCGGGATCCGCTTGACCCCCGTTTACTTTTGTCAAGAGCACCACTTTGTCACTCATACTGTTAATAGGCATCATATAACAAAGAGGAAAGAGCGTAGCATTTTCTTCAATTTACAGATTGGTCCCGAGCATAAAGGAGTGGAGCAGTCGCTTACAATAGTGGTTTCCTTCCATGATACGTTCATCACCAAGGTTGACCGAGCTTTTCGTTGCACTTGCTTTTACATGGAAGCTGATCGTGTCGCTATCGCTCGATTTGATGTCAGGTAGAATTTGATATTTTTATTTTTACTTTTACTATAGTATGATTACTAGAACGTTACAAGAAGTTTATTGTTGTTATCATTATTATTATTATTATTATTGTTACTATTATTACTGCTATTAATATTAGTATTAGTACTAGGAGGTTAAGAGGAGTCTTCCCTAGTTAGTTGTCATAAAACTAATAAACAAGCTGTGGAAAGATTTCGAAGGATATCAAGGAGTGGATAGAGCTGAAAGTGTCTTCGAAACAAAAAATTTTACCTTCGAAAAAGAAGAACAAATCATAGAAAACTGGTTTTTTAGCTGCCAGAGTTGAACTCTGGGTGTTTAGCACAAAAGTAGCGCCATTCGTCACTGGTCTGTGAAAGTGCAGGTAGAATAATAATAGCATGGATACTAACAAGTAACAATAATGACAAAGATAAAAGTAATAGCAATGGCAGTAATAATAATAGCAATAATAAAAATAATAGTAATAGTGATAATGACTAATAATGATAATATAAGTAACGAAAAATTTTTCCTAAAAATTATTGTTTGCGTAAAATGATAGAAAAAAAAATTGTTTTTGGCATAGATAGTACAAGCAGGAGCAGTGAAGAACGGTCCAAGGTTAAACAAAAGCACATAACAAATGAAAAGAGTTTGTTGTCTGGGAAATTCACAAAAATATTAGAAAGGAAGAAGAAAAAACCGAAAAGGAATGTTTCGGTCCACTGAGCGGTGAATATTGAAATAGCACTAAATGAAGCAATTCAGCATGATCCCGACTACGGATTTGGTGGACACAGCTCGGATGCCGGTCTGTACATATACTGTTCGACGTGGCTCAATCACCGGCACAATCGTCTCGTACGCCACTGTTGGCGAATCGGTCTTTCATGTTTGGCAATGTGAAAGTGGTATAAATTTGAATTTCCGGATAGGGCCAAAAAAAGAAAGAGAGAGAAAACTGATGCAGAAGAGGGTTTTCATCGGACTGTGAGGAGAACTCATGACATTTACTTAATACTCGAACAGCTACTAGTTCACTACTAATTAAACTGATACAGTAGGCAATCATCGAACTATCAGCATAAGCTTTTTTTGCTATTATTCAAAAACAGCCACATGGCTAGGGGTTGCTTTTCCGAGCTTCTCAAAAAGTGATAATGCCAAAAATACCGCCAGCATTTGCCTATTAGTCCAAAATATACATTTTTAAAAGTGGGATACTTAGTTTTAAAAGCCTTGCATCTCCCTCCTCTATCCCGCTCGGGAATCCGCCATGACTCCTTCTAAGGCTGTTTCACGTATGCGCAATTTGACTCTACTTTAAGATCTAGAAGTTTCTATTGCAGTCAGGGGCGAGGGGAGGGGGTGATCTGATAAAGTTATTTAATAAGCTGAATTTCAGACATGTTTTCGATGCTGGTACACAGTTGTTTTGTGGATGATGGTAATGGGCATGAGAAGAAGCCACTGATTGATGAGCATGGGTTCGTACTTTCCTCATTTAAATCTACTTAAGACTGAAATGCCCTCATAGAAATCACCTATTTTTGCAAGTGTCCCCAAGTCGAAACAGTGTGTTTTACCTTTACTTTGAGCACCATCCTTGAACAGCTATGTTTTACCTTTTAGAACTAAATTTGTTAATGTAGC